GCTTCGATTACCAAGGAATAGAAACTTTACAAATAAAGCCCGAGGATTGGCATTCCGTTGCTGTCATTTTATATGTATATGGTTACAATTATCTACGTTCCCAATGTGCCTATGATGTAGCACCGGGCGGACTGTTAGCCAGTGTGTATCATCTTACGAGAATAGAGTATGGTGTAGATCAACCGGAAGAGGTATGCATAAAAGTATTTGCTCCAAGGAGTAACCCTAAAATTCCGTCTGTTTTCTGGGTTTGGAAAAGTGCTAATTTTCAAGAACGGGAATCTTATGATATGTTGGGAATCTTTTATGATAATCATCCACGGCTGAAACGTATCTTAATGCCTGAAAGTTGGATCGGATGGCCCTTACGTAAGGATTATATTGCCCCCAATTTTTATGAAATACAAGATGCTTATTGAAGAAAGCAATCTTCCTTTTTACAACTCCCGCTATTCAAGAAATATTTGTACGTTTTTGTCTAGATCAAATAGAGGAATTGAAGTCCATTCGTATTATTATTATGAATATTATGAATGGACTAAATATAAATAAATTAAATAGAAAAAAAAAAAAGACAATACAATTAAGAATTCTTTGAGATTCTCAAAATTGGAATATGCTTATTTCGGATGAGCCGAGCCAATAGGATGAACTAAAAAAAAAGAGTTCTGCATCATGAACTTTGTATCGCGTACATCACTTAGATGGGCTCTAGAGGGTCATATAGTAGGGAAGGAAGAAATAGAAAAAACAAAATAAAAAAAAAAATACAACGAAATGAAAAGGGATAGCATTCTATTTGTACTATATCTGAGATGAATCTTGGATATTCCCACCCTTCCTTCAACTCCGCTAGACTAGACTTTGGGTTGGGTCTTTCAACCAACTAATTTAACCTTTCGAATATCTATGACGTATTAACATTCTTTTTGAACGAGAGGAGACATAGTATGAACAAATAAAAAGAAGAGGAAAGAGAATCGAATTCTTTTATTACATATACATACTTTATATACTCTTTACTCATCTAGAAAAAAAAAAGGGGGTCTATTTCCAGACACCTAGCTAGATGGATAAGTATGTATGTATCAGGATCTATACTATTAATGAATATGTATGCCTAATGAATATGTATGTTGATCCATATCACTTAATTTGGAGAATAGATACTCATACAAATTAAGCATATGCCAGGAACCAGATTTGAACTGGTGACACGAGGATTTTCAGTCCTCTGCTCTACCAGCTGAGCTATCCCGACCATTACCGACGCATCATTTTCATTTTACTAGATGGCTTGGGTCTATGTCAATTAAAAAAGACGAAATTCAGTCTTAAAAGTCTTGGACGGGGAATTGCATTTCTTGAATATTCAAAAAGAAGACTTTGTCAGTTTCAGTATGAGCAATGATATGGATTGTGAATCATTCACATGTAGATTCCTTGCTCAAAAGTGTTCATTTGTACGTGTCTCCTATATACCACACGACTTGTGTGTGATAAGAGAAAAAATTCTGCTCGGATACGTTTGTAAATGGAAAAGAGTAGGATGAATAAGAAACATAACGAATTTGGAACCACTAACATAGGATAAATCGTTAGGGAGTTAAATGGGCCTTTTTTGGGGGATTTGGGGATAGAGGGACTTGAACCCTCACGATTTCTAAAGTCGACGGATTTTCCTCTTACTATAAATTTCATTGTTGCCAGTATTGATATTGGCATGTAGAATGGGACTCTATCTTTATTCTCGTCCGATTAATTAGTTCTTCAAAAGAAAAACAAAAAGGATTCGGGTCGTCATTTTTGAGATCCTTTTTCATTACGTATACATAGTGTATTTTTTCATTACGTATACATAGTGTATATAGGCTTCTCCTTCATGCTTTATGGCCTTTCGATATTCGATAGAAGAATTCCTTTCTTTCCCCAAAAAAGGCAGTCAACTCCATTTGTTAGAACAGCTTCCATTGAGTCTCTGCACCTATCCTCTTTCTCCCGTTCTGACCCCTTGTTTGTTTTTGTTCTCATAAAATAGGAT